CAGCAGGAACGAGGGGCAGATTTATGTTATCTTAGTAGCAAAAGGTATTTTCATAACACATGAATGAATATGTAAACAACATTAACCAAGTCGCAATGACAAAATAATGCCCTTTCCAGGGCAGTAAAATTAAAAATGATCCATTCTGACCAGCTCCTTTAAAACTACTCTTACTGCAGGGGGTGGCCTAAATGACCTCACAAACCCCCCAGACTCAATGAAATATCTTGCAAAATGCATTGCAGTACAAAAGAACACACCACCACACACTGGTTTATTATGCACCTTCGTTCCCTAATCACTCAGGTTTCACATGCATGACTTGGGGTAGTTTATTTTTTAATAAATCATTGTTGGTGGGTGAGAAAATGAAAATGAAATCCTCTTCACACCAGCGACCCCTTTGCATTTAACAATCTGGGCTGCCCAATGACAGTCACATCCTGGTTTCTTAGCTGTAGATAAAATCAATAGGTATGTGATTAGACAGCCGACTCAGGGTGGCTGGAGCCATGGACAGGTCACCATTTGAGATGATGAATGGCTTTCTATCAACCTATAGTCCCCTACGATGCTAACATTTACTATAATCTTATTTGGGCTACGATTTATCTTTCTTGCACCTGATCAATAAAGATGAACAGAACAGTTGTAGGGATCGATTGTAATTTTTTATCATTTTCAAGCACAAAGGTGCATTTCTGACATGAAGACAATATTCTAAGTATACTGCTTCTGCATTTTTTAAAACTGCAATTTGAGTGATCAACTGCACTAGTCTATAAGGTGAGAGGTTTTAATTCATCTGTGGGTCTAAAGCTATCAAAAAGCCATTTGTCTTCTCCGATATTTAACTTTAGGTTTTGTCATACCTTCCTATCCCTTTCACATATAAGATATTCTTTTCCATCATGCCATTCATGTCACAACATGCCATTCTGCAATGTTTGCTTTAAGTTTTTCTTTGAACTCTTTAAGAGGGCAGCAAAAAGGCATTTATTAATCTATCACTAATAATGATGAGAACCTCCAAAATTACTACAATAAATTGCCAATGGGCATCAGGTAAGTGAATTATCTATTAACATGCTGGCAAAGCAGTAACGTCTCATTTAATACTTCCACTTTTTTTTTTTTTTTTTAAGCACTGAAACTGAAATATCTGGACTTCTAGAAGCAGAACTGAGTTGAATGATCTGGTTTCTGGTTCTATTCTGTGACCTTGCAGGTCTTTCGACCCACTACAGTTCCCTTCCTTTTTAGTTTTCCTAACCTGCAAAATATGGATGATAATATTAGCCCTGCTTGCCTCTACCAAAGCTGTTGGAAAAATCAAATAAGATAGGCCAGAGAACTGTGAAACTTGCAAAATGTTTTTGCAGAGTAACATCAAAATCCAAATAATTTGGGAAGAAAATAACTAATTTGGGTAATCAATTTGGGGTACAAATTCTACAGCAGATAATGCCTTCTAATAAGAATGATGCACAAAAGCAAGATTTTTACCACAAGATAAATTAGGGCGCTCCCCTAATTTATGTTTTGTGATGCTAAAAGCAGATGAAATTATTACTGATTGTGTCTAACTTTTCCTCACGATGATAATACAAAAACCATGTGCCTTGAGTGCCTACAAAGGTAGCACAGAATTCTCAACACTTTAAGCCTTATTTATACCTCATATTTCCACCTCATGGCCAGTTACCCACATTTCACCGATCTTTCTAACACAGAGAAGTCTCCAGGAAGCACACCATATAGCAACAGGGGATAAACACAAACATGCTCAAGATGCTACATACTGATGTAGATGGTGTTTACTCACTTATGTGTTAATTTAGATATTATTAAAAAAAATTAAATCTTCATTATTCCAATAATGTCTACCTAGGGGAATGAGATCCTCAAGAAGTCTTCTATTAGAAATGGAAGAAAACTAGTGAAAGCGAAGGTCACAAAAGCCACATTAAAAGTCAGGGATAGACTTTTGGGAATTCAGAAACACAAGAGGGCTTCAAAATATTCACAGAAAAATGGAATTAAAGTACGGGTCTATTTTGGTTCCAAATAAAATTAAATGCCATGTATAATTTTCACAGTACATCCACAAACCTTTTAAAGACTACCCTGTCCCTGGTCACATAGTAGAGATCTCCTATGGCTTCAGAAAAATACTTTAAAAAAATAAATAATATAGGGACCAGCAGTTAGTGTAATGGCTATGTCGCTGGACTCCCACGTAGTCGACCGTGGTTCGCGTCCCGGACCCGGTGGCTTAAAACTCATGCCGGGCACGTGTGCGTGCGTGCCCAAGGTCCTGAGAGGAGAATGGAGAAGGGATTGCGGCGTGGCCATCCCCCCTGGGAGGTGATTTCTTGCTTTCTGTCTCTGTCTGTCTCTGTCTGTCTGGCGAGCACATGCACCCTATAGCAAAAACCTCTCCTAAATAAATAAATAAATAAGCAAAATAAATAAATAATATGCATTAAGAAAAAAAAGAAGACCAAAAATGGAAAAACTTCATAATGTCTCCAGTGGGAGAATGGATGAACACTGCATACTTACAAAGTAGAAATCTGTACACTCAAGGAAAAGAATGAATTCTTCATACATACAGAGTAAAAAGAGCAAGTTGTAGGTGTGACATAATAAGATACAATTTCTAAAAAATTGTCTATCCATTTCATCCAATAAGAAAAACAAGGAGACAGAGAGTCAGGCACCCCAACAGGTCTCCATGCTGTTATTCATCCTAGTCCCAGCTGCCATGTGCAAGTGGCAACAGTTGTGTGGCAGTGGTAGTAGGGAACAGGGGGAAAGAGCAGCACAAAGG